ACGGGGGGGGGGGGGGGGGGGGGGCAGATGAAATAAAGAGAGGAGCTCTCACATCGTTCTTCGGTCCATTTCTCGCCCCCCCCCCTCTCTCAATCTTTTCCACCGAATACCACTCAGTAGCACACCTGATCGGAGAAGCAACAAAAAAAAAAGAAGAGCGGACGCTTCCATCGTCACCACAACCACCTTGCCGGCATCCCCTCAAGACGGCATTTCCTGTGCGGCACACCGTCACCATCAACCACCATGCGTCCTGCTCTCACCCTCGCTCTCTCTCATTTTTTTCATTCACTTCCACACTCTTGCGTCCTCTGCTTCCACTCTCTATCGCTCCTCTCTTTTTTTTTTTTTTTTCTCTCTCTGCCTCCGTTTTTTTTTTTTTTTTTTCTTGGTACGGCACCCGTCTGAGAGTCACAGGTACAACCGTCTGGCAGGAGCCATACACACGCGCACACTTACGCTCGCTTACACTTACACAAGAGAGACACTGCATATTCCCAGTCACACACTCTCATTCACGCATACACACTCACACTCTCACACAAACACACACACACACGCACGGCGCCGCACCCCCGATGAGGCGCACGGTGTCAGCCTGGGCGAAAAGGTTCGATGTGTGTGTGCTCGGCGGCGGCCCAGCAGGCATCGCTGCGGCCGTGCGCGCCTACGAGCTTGGGAAAAAAGCCTGCATCATCGAAGAAGCCCGCGTAGGCGGCGCAGATTTCTGGAATGGCGCACTCCAGTCCAAGACACTGTGGGAAATGGCAAAATTCGCCCGCTACACCATGGGCAACACGTCGCACCGCTTCATGAAATCTGTAGCGGAGTTGCCCAAGGTGAAGCACGAAAACCTCATCAAGGCAATCACCAACGCCGCCGAGACGCGCGAAGCACAGACACTCGAGGTCCTCGCCAACGCGGAAATCGAGCTGCTCTCCGGCGTCGGCGCTTTTAAAACACCCCATTCGGTGGGTGTATCAAAAGCAGATGGAACCGAGGACATCGTCGAGGCCGATTACTTCGTCATCGCCACCGGGGCCCAGCCACGGCCGCACCCCACCGCCGTCGCAGACGGCAAGGTCGTCTTCACCTCCGACGACATCATGATGCACCCGCTGCCGAAAAGCATCGTCATTATCGGCGCTGGTGTCATCGGGTGCGAATTCGCATCAATTTTCGCCAACTTCGGAGAAACGCAAGTCAACATTATCGAAAAGAGCGGCCGCATTCTCCCAATGGAGGACGAGGACATCGCCGTCTTTGTTCAAACACTGCTCGAGCAAAAAGGCGTCCACTTCCACCACCACTCCGCGATCGAGAGCAACACCATACAGGACGGAAAGTTCCACTACACGCTCAAAGACGTCCGCGACGGCTCTCTGCACAACCACGTCACCGACAGCGCCCTCGTCTCCATCGGCCGCGTACCAAATGTAGCGAAACTCAACCTGGAAGCGATCGGCGTCAAGGTCGAGAGCAGCCGCATCACCCGCGACGATTTTCTCCGCATCAAGCCCCACAAGCACATTTACGCATGCGGCGACGCATGCACGCGCGTGGCCCTAGTCAACGTGGGGGAGCTGGAGGGTCGAGCGTGCATCGACCACATGTACACACCATGCCCCGAGGAGCAGCTGAAGCTCACGCTGGACAACCTCTCCACCATCATGTTCCTCGATCAAGAAGTAGCCGCCGTTGGGCTGAACGAGCAGCAGTGCAAGAAAATGTCCATTGGCTACAAAATGGCGAGATACAGCTACGAGTATGTTGGCCGCGCACTCGCAATGGGCAACACACGCGGCTTCATCAAACTCGTTGTCACCAACGACAAGAAAATGCAGGTGCTCGGCGTGCGCGCCGTCGGCCCACACGCCAGCAGCATTGTCGAGCTCGCCTCTCTCGCGATCCACAACAGAGAGTCCGCCTACGACCTCCGTGACCTTCACGCTGCCTACCCAGCAATCACTCAGGGGTTTCAAGAGTGTCTGCACATGCTGCTCGGCTCATCCACGCTGAAGCCCGGTGTGTTTCCGCAACTTGTCGTGCGGGAATGGAACCCGCCAAGCTTCGAGCGCGGACGTGCATACGCAAAGGAAAAGTGAGCGCCACCACTTCTGTGCTCGCGTCAACTTTCCCCTTCCTCTCTTTGCTCTCCGCGTCACGATTGTATGTGTCGATAGCATGGCGCAGCTCTTTCACCCCGGCCGAGAGTCCAACGTGTCCCCATTTTTATGATGCTGGCACATTTTGTGCACTCCTATCCAGTTTTTTTTTTTTTTTTCGTTTGTCTCTCGGCAGGGAGAAAAAAAAAAAAAAGGTTGCGCCGTACCGCTGTTGCCCTTTTCGAAGAAGGGATCAAAAAAAAAAAAGAAAAAAAAAAACAGGTGGGCCGCCCCGTGGTGCGGCCATACGCAGGCAGAGATTACTCTTTCACAACGCGCTGCTGAGAAATCGCCGAGGTGCGATTTTCATTCTCTAGTCCCCCACCGACTTTTCAGAATGGGTCACTCTCTGAATTAAAAAAAAAAAAGAAAAAAAGAGGGCAGCGCAAAAAAAAAAAAAAAAATGATTGGGCAACAGGAATCTACTGAAAAGCCGGTGGGGAACGGCAAGCTCCATGCACCGCGCAAGTCCCGCTTCCCAGAAAAACATGTTATGAATCAAAGAAAAAAAAAAATGACCTCTGCTACTCCGTCTTTTTTTTTTTTTTTCTCCATCTATCTGTATTGCTTTGCTTGTTTTAAACGCGGTTTTTTTTTTTTTTCTCTGCTGCTGTTGTTCTTGTTTGCACACTCTCTCCTTTTTTTTTTTTTTTTCTTGTCACCTTCGATTGTAGAGAGCTTCGCTGTCGAGCGTTGCCTCCGCACGGACACAGTCACTCTCCACATCGACTGCTTTTTTTTTTTTCTTTTTTGGAGGCGCGACGCTCACATCGGCGTACCTCCCGAAAAGAAAAAAAAGAAGCATGGCCACGTCTGCTCAGGACGCTGTGAACATTAGCGAAGATGACCTCAGATCAGCGATGAAGATGCCCATTCGGACGCACGTACGCGTCCTGGGTCTCGAGAGGACTCATCCGTCTGTTCTGGCAAGGGACTTGGAGACTATCAAGCGCTGCCGCACCATGCAGGACGCTGTGGTAGCTGTGACGGAACTCCGCAGCCGTTGGATTTCGATGGGGATTTTCCGAAGCGTGCAGTACAACTTTGAGCCCACAGCTGACGGGCAGTCTGACGATGTGTGTGTGCGCCTCGACGTCGTGGAGGAGAAGCCGAAGAAGAGTATCGGCGTGTTCACAACCGACTCTTCCATCCCCGAGATCACAGTAGCCCTGGATAACATACTGGGTGCCCGATACTCCGTGAAGGGCAACTACATTCCCCCAGCATCCCGTATCCATTCCGCGTCCTTCTCGTTTCTCTCGAACGTTCCTTTCCTCGGCCAGAGCGCCGAGTACTACGTGGGCAGACGGACAGAGAACAAAACCTACCACCTGGCAAATGCAGAGCGCGTGGAGGAGGTCAAGGCTACCACGACGAGTAGGAAGGGCACGCTGGCGTCTGAGCTGACTGTCGGCTTTCAGCGCAGAACGCTCTTGACGAAGCACACGGAAAATGTGCCTCCCGCAGATTCAGCCGATTTTGCGGCCACGGATAAAGGCTACATTCGCCACCAGCTCACCGCGACCAACGTAGCCCATCACGCCAACCCGTTTCTCTACAACATGTACCCGCTGCCGATTTACGGGAGTCAGGTCAGTCTGTGCAACGAGTTTGCAGGGGGCCCAGCTGGCGGGGACTTCACGTTTTTCAAAAGCGAGGTCCAGGGCTCCAAGTACGTCCCGCTCGGACCGTTTTTCAGTCTGCAGCTGAGTGCGAAGCTGGCTGGGATTTACCCCTTCTTCGGGGGACGCATTCCCCTCAACGATCGACTCTTCCTCTCGAACTGTCACATTCGCGGCTTCAAGTCTGTAGGGCCGTCGACGCTTGACTGGGGGCAATCAGTGGGACGCTTCGCGGCCACTGGTGGCAACGCGCTCTGGGCCACGTCCGTGAGCCTCAACTTCCCCTTCCTGTTTTTCCCCAACAACGGCATCGCCTCAATGCACCTCTTTGCGAATGCTGGAAACCTGCGCATGGTGGACTCACTCGACGCGCTCAAGGACGGCTACCGTTGGCTGCGCGAGTGCGCCTGCTCTGTTGGCGCAGGTATCGTAGTCACACGAATCCCTCTTTTCGGCGTCGCACCGAGTGGACGCTTTGAGCTAAACATGTCCGTTCCGATAGGCGTAGACAAGGAGGGGAATTTTGTGTTCCGCAATGGCCGCAAGAGTCTCTTTGACAGGTTCCGGTTTGGTCTGGTGTGGTCCTCCAACTTTTCATTCTAGCAGGACAGAACTGAACCGACGCACAGACGCTCGCTATTCTTGTCCACGCATCTACGCCCCTCTCACAGTGCACTGCAGGAAAGAAAGAAAGAACTAAAAAAAAAAAAACGAGACCAAAGTAACCGTCGCAAGAAATGAAGGCTATTTCGTTGGCAAATGAGGAAGGGCAGAAAAATGGGTACGTAGCTCAACGCACTCGCCGTGCCTCCTCTTGGAGACAAAGACACTGCTGGTTCAGGAGGCGTTGAAAAAGAAAAAAAAAAAAAGAAAATGCCAACCCCCGTTTTCTCTTTGGTGGATACCCCCTGCTTGTTCTTCTCTCTCAAGTAGAGCAAAAGGATAGAAAGCAGGCTTCCTCGACAAGGAGGTCACATGGAGCATCCCACACCATCTCTCTCTATTTCTTGTTCCTCTCTTCTCCTGGTCTTTCACTCTTTTTTCGGTGTCGGCTCCGAAGCAGCACGGCCGTCACTCCCTGATTTCTGGTGTGGCGCAGCTGCTCTCTCGCTGTCGTCGTATAATGC